CCGCCCCACTCGCCCTGCCCTATATCCGCCCCTGGATCCAGCGCACTCAGATCCAGGCCCCAAACCAGCTATGGGGCACTTGGTAGCAAATCCAGGGCTGAGCCTTCCTGGAGGAAAGCCAGGGCACTGCTGGGAAATGCCAGGCAGGCAGGAAGTGGAGCCACAGTCAGAACCCGGATTGGAGCGGGTAGAACACACAGAGCTCGGGTTGCCAGCATCCCGGGAAGTTTCAACACAGGACACCATTTTGAATTAACAATTAGTCTTCGCGTTGTGTAAGCAAGACAGGAGAAGTCATTCTTCTGCTCTACTCTGTATGATTAGGCCTCAATTGGAGGATTGTGTCCAATTCAGGGCACCACATTTCAGGAAAGATGTGGAGAAGGTCCAGAGAAGGTCCAGAGAAGAGCAACCAAAATGGTTAAAGGTCTAGAAAACATGACCCCTGAGGAAGACTGAAAGAAAATGAAAAGAGAAGACTGAGAGGGGACATGCTAGCAGGTTTCAAGTATCTAAAAGGGTGTTACAAGGAGGAGGGAGAAAAATTATTCTCCTTGGCCTCTGAGGCTAGAACAAAAAGCAATGGGCTTAAATTGTGGCAAAGGAGATATAGGTTAGACATTAGGGAAAAAACTTCCTATCTGTCAGGGTGATTAAGCATCAGAATAAATTGCCTAAGCTAGAGAGGTTGTGGAATCGCCATCATTGGAGATATTTAAGAACAGGTTAGATAGACATCTACCAGGGATGATTAGATCAGGGGTTCCCAATCTGGGGTACGTGTACCCCCAGGGGGTATGAGAAGCTTGTCAAGTGGATATGGGGAATATTTGGTAAATAACTAGATTATCTTAATTGAAATATTCCAAAAGTAGTAGTGTCAGTGAAAAAAATTGTGGATTCTAGAGTCTAGAATTTATTTCCTTTCCTATTGAATAGGGGGTACGGGAAGGTTTATTAAAAGCCAAGGGGGTACGGGGACCGAAAAAGGTTGGGAACCCCTGGTCTAGACGGTACTTGGTCCTGCTGTGAGGGCAGGGGACTGGATTCGACCTCTCGAGCTCCCTTCCAGTTCTAGTGCTCTATGAGTCTATGATTTTATGAATTCCAGGAGACTCCAGGACAAGTCTGGAGGGCTGGCAGCCCTACACAGAGTGGGCACAAACACAAACTGCCTGTGAGCACCCCCTGGTGGGGGAATAGCAACATTTCAACAGTACAGGACTTCTCAGACACCACAGTGCTGGGTTACCGCTGGCAAGTTGCTTCTTGTTTCATCTGTATGAATGCCAAGACCGCGTCAGACCCTTGCATTAGATCATCCTGTCCTTGTCCCAGGGGGCCTTGTGGGACTGTCCTCCGGAGAGCACATTTCCTCCTGCGTTCTCCACCGGGGCGGTGTGTTTCCCCTCTGGAGTGCAGGAGCGACATGGCTCAGGTCTGCAGTCCCAGGTCGCGCGACATCTTGGACCGTGCACCCAGGTGCTCCAAAGTTGGTGTCATCAAATTACAGCTGAATTTACAGCCAAGATCTCATGATGCACCGAGCAGCCCCAGAGAGGAGCTTGGGTTGTTTTCAGACCTGCTACAGCAAAAACCTCTAGAAACCCTGAGGAAGGCCAGGACGCTGTTATAATCGCTCTGTGGGAATCGGATACTCCCCGCAGGTGCTTGGACCATGCTGTGGACTGCAACAAAGCTTCCTCTCCCTGCAACCCAATTCGCTGGGAGAACTCCAAAACCCCAGGGCAAAGATCTCATTCTTAATTACATGCTACCGGTCTTTTAATGCCTCTGGAACCCCGCTGGTTGCTTCCCTGCTTCGTTTGATGTTCACAGCTACATTTTCCCACAGGACTAGCAGGAAGCACCACCACATGAGACGCGACAGAGGAGGGAAGAGGGGAATTCCGTGCTGCCAAGAATGGACGTTAGTTTTGACATGTGTTGGGTTCGAGAATGTGGATCTCCCTCCATCAGTCAATCTATAGCATCACTCATGTGCCTCTCCTTGGGAAGACTGAGTACCAAAAGGTACTAGCAGTGAGCATCTCCTAAGAGGGCTGCTCATTGCACTCTTAGGTCCAGGTATAACCAAGTGTTGCCCTTAGCCAGAATTCTGTCTACAACCAGAAATTTCTTGGCCGAGCTGGCCGGCCCATGAGGGAGTAGGTTGAAGCTCAGAGTGATGCTGACTCTAGATTGGGGTTCCCACACGTACGCAGCACATCTCTGGAAGGCATGCAGGCGAAATTGTGCCATGGCAGAAGGATTCATCATTTTATATGCTGTTGCTTTACAATTCTGTAGGAATCTGTTATACCAAATACAGGAGTAAATTTATTTCAAGATGTGCCAATGAGAACACAGATGCGCTGGCATACGGTTACCTCCCAATCACCGTACAGCCTTAGCGTGGAGTTAGTGGCCCAGCAATTATCCCATCAAAGTGAGCTCAGAATTAGAGGCAACGTTGACAATATACACACACTGTACATTAGGGACATACGGACAGGTGGCTAACAACAGGACGTTGTAAGGACACACAAGAAGTACCAGTGATGAGAAGGGGGTACGCAATCAGAAGAGGGTACACAGGCAGAGCTAGAAGGGGGTACGCAATCAGAAGGGGGTACGCAGGCAGAGCTGGAAGGGGGTACGCAATCAGAAGGGGGTACGCAGGCAGAGCTGGAAGGGGGTACGCAATCAGAAGGGGGTACGCAGGCAGAGCTGGAAGGGGGTACGCAATCAGAAGGGGGTACGCAGGCAGAGCTGGAAGGGGGTACGCAATCAGAAGGGGGTACGCAGGCAGAGCTGGAAGGGGGTACGCAATCAGAAGGGGGTACGCAGGCAGAGCTGGAAGGGGGTACGCAATCAGAAGGGGGTACGCAGGCAGAGCTGGAAGGGGGTACGCAATCAGAAGGGGGTACGCAGGCAGAGCTGGAAGGGGGTACGCAATCAGAAGGGGGTACGCAGGCAGAGCTGGAAGGGGGTACGCAATCAGAAGGGGGTACGCAGGCAGAGCTGGAAGGGGGTACGCAATCAGAAGGGGGTACGCAGGCAGAGCTGGAAGGGGGTACGCAATCAGAAGGGGGTACGCAGGCAGAGCTGGAAGGGGGTACGCAATCAGAAGGGGGTACGCAGGCAGAGCTGGAAGGGGGTACGCAATCAGAAGGGGGTACGCAGGCAGAGCTGGAAGGGGGTACGCAATCAGAAGGGGGTACGCAGGCAGAGCTGGAAGGGGGTACGCAATCAGAAGGGGGTACGCAGGCAGAGCTGGAAGGGGGTACGCAATCAGAAGGGGGTACGCAGGCAGAGCTGGAAGGGGGTACGCAATCAGAAGGGGGTACGCAGGCAGAGCTGGAAGGGGGTACGCAATCAGAAGGGGGTACGCAGGCAGAGCTGGAAGGGGGTACGCAATCAGAAGGGGGTACGCAGGCAGAGCTGGAAGGGGGTACGCAATCAGAAAAGTGCGGGAACATCTGCTCTAGAGCTAGTGACACAATGGGGGTACAGCAGCTTGAGTAAGGCCAACTCCCCAACTGCTAAGCCTCAATCATGCGGCTATCCCAGCCCATTGGTGTAGCCGGGGGCATGTGGTTTCCCAGCAGAGTTACTGTCATTCATGCAAGGCCAGCTCCAGTGTGTAACTCCAATGGAGCAACTCAAGCAAGGCGCTGCTGTAGCACTTCCATGCAGACACCCACTGCCACGACAGGAGGGGGTTCAGCCAGTGACGAGTTACTGGGGTTCTCCCAGTTGCGAGTCTCTCTCTCTGAGATGCAGTAGTGAGGGTAACGCAGGAATTCTTCCGGCAACCGAGATCTGTCTACACCAGGGCATATCTGGGGATTATTCACACCCCTGAGCAACGTAGCTGATTGGACCTAACTTTTTAGTACAAGCAGTCCCCGGGTTACATGGATCTGACTTACATCGGATCTTTACTTACAAACGGGGTGAGGCAACCCCGCACTAGCTGCTTCCCCCCAGCAGACCAGGGAGAGGCGGAGCGGCTTTTCTCAGCAGACCCCTCAGCTTGAGAATAAAGGACTGAGGGAAGTGAGGTGTGGGAGAATAAAACTGAGCTCTGGAGAAATGTTTGGCTAGAGTTTCCCCTACAATATGTACCAGTTCCGACATACATACAAATTCAACTTAAGAACAAACCTACAGTCCCTATCTTGTACGTAACCCGGGGACTGCCTGTATAGACCTGTGTGATGTAGTGTGGGTACCTTGCTGGTTGCTATGCTGGGAAGTGGGTTGTGAGTGACCTCCCCTGGCTGTTGTCTGCAGCAGGCCCAGCAGGGCAGGGGATGAGTCATTATGCAAGGGGGCTTCGAACCTGTCTGACCAGTGATCTCCCAAGGAGCGGAACAATGGGAAGAAGGGGAGTGGAGCCCTGGCTGGGGGCAGGGCTGGAAGTGAGTTAGTTAGGTTTCTGGCTGGGATCATGGAGGAAGCAGTCTAGGCAACAGGCTGGGATTTAGAAGCACAGGCTCCCCCATCTCAAGGGGGGCTGAGGCATCCTAGGCCTGCCCTGTAACCGGATTATATCTATGCTGTGCTGTATCCTGGAGAAGCAATAAACTCCATTCTACTGACTGGTGGAGTCTGTCCGTGCCATTACGGGGGTGCAGGAGACGGGAAAACCCCAACACGACGTCACAACCTGTTTGGCCTAATTATTGGCGTACAGATCCCATGGGTTCCCGCCTCTACCCCCAGGATGCTCACCTCTGCCCCCTCCAGGCTGCTTTTATAGCATCCCCTGGGCTCCCTCCCAAAGCCCTGCTCTTCCACCCACCTGTGGCCTGGGCAGTGTTAACTCTCTGCCTGCTGGAAACCAAATACAGCCCTAAACGCCATCACAGCAGCCAGCCCGGCCCGAACCCTCCCCTGGTCAGGTTTGGTGGTTTACCCGGCCTTTGCCCAGGTGTTGCCTGGCAGAGAGCCCCAGACAGGTGCCCTGGGACAGCCCAGTCCTGGCTACTCACCGATATTTTGGTGAAGACAGAGAGCAGGAGTGACAGGACCGAGAGGTACATCCGGATTCTCGCCCCTCCAAAGCGTCTCTGCAGATACTCCGGCATGGTGACGATCTGAGAGGTGGGAGGCACGGTCACTGCACGGCACGGCAGCCCCCTGCCAACGGCACCTGCAGCCCACGTCGGACTGGGGAAGCACCAGGAGGGCTAAGCCCGGCACTTGGGGGACGTGGTGACCCCTTCCCCTGCCACAAGGAGCACAGAAACAGCTGCGATCTCTCTTATCCCATGGCGGTGTGTGCACAAGGGGCTTTGTGGGAAGCCTGAGGGCACATACCCCAGCTCAGGGATGGCCAACCCATTAAAGGCAAAGAGCCACAATAGTTGGGGAGAAAAAAAAAAGAAAAGAAAAAGAAAGCCCCAGCCGCATGGGGTCAAGCCGCATCGGACGGTGAGCACAGGGAACCGGGGGTTAGGGGGGCAGTTTTTAGGGGCACAGGGGCAGCTTCACGAGCCACGGGGGAGGCTTTGTGAGCCGCAATTTAAGGGGGGGAGAAGAGCTGCATGTGGTTCACAAGCCACTGGTTGGCCAGCCCTGCCCCAGCTAGTCGTAGGATGCTGCACAACATGGCTGTGTCTAGACTGGCCAGTTTTTCCGGAAAATCAGCCGCTTTTGCGGAAAAACTTGCCAGCTGTCTACACTGGCCGCTTGAATTTCCGCAAAAGCACTGACTTCCTACTGTAAGACATCAGTGCTTCTTGCAGAAATACTATGCTGCTCCCGTTCAGGCAAAAGTCCCTTTTGCGCAAAAGGGCCAGTGTAGACAGCTGAGATTTGTTTTCCACAAAAAAGCCCCCGTTGTGAAAATGGCGATCGGGGCTTTTTTGCGCAAAAGCGCGTCTAGATTGGCCACGGACGCTTTTCCACAAAAAGTGCTTTTGCAGAAAAGCATCCTGCCAATCTAGACGTGCTTTTCCGCAAATGCTTTTAATGGAAAACTTTTCTGTTAAAAGCATTTCCGGAGAATCATGCCAAGCTAGATGCAGCCAATCAGTCTTACTAGAATCCTATACCATAGCCCTTGCCAAAGCTATGAAGCCCCTTCCCCTGCAGCCTCCAAGATCCTGAAATGAACCAGTAAGTCTAGGGGCTGAGCTCGGCTTGCAATCGGGAGGCCTCCTTTCATTGCAGGCACCGTATCAGTACGGTCAGAAATAGGAACATTTCTAACAGCCTCGCTTTAGTGGGGAATCAGGGGTTGCCGGGAACGACTGCACGCACCTACCCCCCTGCTCTCTACTGGATGGAAGGAGTCCTGTCCCAGTGTGAGCCCTGGATCCCGTCCCGCAGGGTGGTTACGGCCAGTACAGGGGTGGGGTCGATTTCAAGCAGGCTCGGGCAAAGAGAGCAGAGTTCACCCCGGGATAGGGCTCACATAGATCCGGCCCTGAGTGACAGCCGGCGACTGCATCTGTCACGACTACGAACGCCGGGCTTTCTGGCTATGTTTGGTGTACTCCAGCTCGGCTTACCCCTGAGGAGATGTAGACTGGCACGAACACCCAGGCCAACGCCAGCAGGACATAGGTAGCCTAGGGAGAAGCAGGGGTAACAGCACAGTCCGATAAACCACAGTTCTGCCCACAGCAGGGCCTCCAGCTTAATATTAGCAAAGTCACCGGGTCCCATGCAGAGAGCTTGAGTTGAGATGCACACGCTGGTCATCGAGTGGCACAGCATGAGGGAATCAAGGGGGGGGGCATACAGAACTCCCCTGTGGACACATGGCCTGATGCAACGCCCCTTCTCCGTGTTTAGCGCTGCACTTTCCTGACTCCACAGATGACCAGAGATTTCACGTTCACTCTTCAGCACGGCATCTCTCGCAACCTAAGGCCTTACGGGAGCCGGAGCCCAGTGGCCTTCTGGGGAAATGCTTGGGAAACCCGTGAGCCTGTTTCATGTCTGTCACTTTCCCATCATATACCCAGTTGGGATCTCTGCAGGGGTGGACTTGGGACCTCTGGATCCGGAAGCATGAGCCCGTACTAAAGCACTAGGGATGATAGCAGGCTCCTAAACATCTATGTGCGGCCCCACCAATAAAGGGATTCAGAGAGCTTAGCAGCCACCCTAATGGGGTTACCTGCAGGTACAGTACATGCCCGATTACGTGTGCCAGGCTTTGCCTGCTCCTCCTGGCTCCAGCGACTGATTAGCTTAAGAAGGACAAGCCACTCACGTTCCATTCAAAGCCAGCGACGGCGATTCCCCCAGCCGCGCCAGTCCCAGCCAGGCCAATAAAGAGCCCGGATCCTTCGCTGCTGGCAAAGAGGGATGCTCCAATCTGCAGGCCAAAAGCAAGGAGGTGCCGTTAGTGGGCACAGCTTCACTAGGCATCGGCCTCTCTGCTGTGAGGCCCACCGGGCAGGGGGGAGGAACCTCAGGCCCGGGGGCCGGATGCAGCCCCCAGTTTGCCTGGATCTGGCCCCCCCAAGACTCAGGGCTCTCCCTCCCAGCCTTGGGGAGCCCGTGCTGGCGCTCCAGCTGCCCCCACCCCTGTGGGCCTGGAGCAAACAAATCTACTAGGCGGGCACCCTGGGTTCTGATGTACAAGGGGACTGAGAGAAGTGGCCTCCTCAATCGGGGGCCACATCAATGAGGGTTTGTTCGGCTTCTCGCTTGTGTGTGGCCCCCGACTGATTTTTCTGTGGGTAGGCGGCCCCCGCCACAAAGGAGTTTCCCCCCCCTGCCGTAGGGCCAAGTGGCTCACTTAGGGTTTGTCTACACTACAGCGTTAATTCGAGTTCTTAATTCGAAATAATTCGAATGAACTAACGCGTCTACACACAAAATGCTGTTTGAATTAGTGTTTTGCTAATTCAAACTACTGCGTCCACACTGAGTGGACACAGAATCGGATTTAAGGCAGGCCAGAACCAGGTCAGGGGTAGGGCATCAGATCAGGAGTGTCTTTGTGTGGCTGTTGCCTGAGGCTTGTGCTTAAAGACACACACACACACACACACACACACACACCCCCCCCAGGCAGCCGGTTCTCAGGTGTTCCTGCTTGCTTGCCTGCCTCGCTGAGGGACAGCAAAGCATTTGTCTCTCTGCGTGCTCTGGTTGCCCTCACTCAGGACACCACAGCACTCTGCAACATGGAGCCAGAGCTGCCCCTGGGCACTCTGGTGCTTC